AGGTTCTGCACTAAGCTGGTTTAAATCTTATTTATCTGATCGCTTTCAGTTTGTACATGCTCATAATGAATCATCTCTATGTACTAAAGTTTGTTTTGGAGTTCCACAAGGTTCTGTGCTCGGACCAGTTCTGTTCACTTTATATATGCTTCCCTTAGGTAACATCATTAGAAGTCACTCTGTAAATTTCCATTGCTATGCGGATGATACACAATTATATTTATCGATAAAGCCAGAAGAAACGGACCAATTAATAAACTTCAAAAATGCCTTAAAGACATGTATGAGCTCCAATTTCCTGATGTTAAATTCAGACAAAACTGAAGTTATTGTTCTTGGCCCCAAACAACTCAGAGACTCTTTATCTGATGACATAGTTTCTCTCGATGGCATTGCTCTGGCCTCTAGCACTACCGTAAGAAACCTCGGAGTAATATTTGATCAAGATTTGTCTTTTAACTCCTATTTTAAACAAACCACATGGACTGCGTTTTTTTAGGCCTATCCTGTCCCAAAAAGATGCAGAAAAATTGGTCCACGATTTTGTTACCTCAAGGCTGGATTACTGTAACTCTCCATTATCAGGTAGCAATAATAAGTCTTTAAAAACTCTGCCCAAGACTCCGCACCCCAAGGACTTCAGCAGCTTCAGACCGGTGGCATTAACATAGCACCTCATGAAGACTCTGGTTCTGTCTCGTCTCCGCCCAGCAGTAGGCCTTCAATGGACCCTCTGCAGTTTGCCTACCAGCCTGGCGTTGGGGTGGACGACGCGGTCATCTTTCTCCTGCATAGAGCTCTTTATCACCTGGAGAAGCCCGGAAGCTCTGTGAGAATCATGTTCTTTGACTTCTCCAGCGCTCTCAACACCATACAGCCTGCGCTTCTGAGGGACAAACTGGAGCACATAGGGGTGGCTAATCACCTCACATCCTAGATCCTGGACTGCAGGTGTTGGCCTTCCTCAGGGTTGTGCCTTGTAGCTGACTCTGTTTGTGATATTCACAGAAAGGATCTCAAGGTGCAGTCGCAGGGAGGAAGGGGTCCGGTTTGGGGACCTCAGTATTGCATCTTTGCTCTTTGTAGCCGAAGTGGTTCTGTTGGCTCCATCCCACCGTGACCTCCAGCGTGCACTGGGGCGGTTTGCAGCAGAGTGTGAAGCGGTTGGAATGAGAGTCAGCGCCTCAAGCCCGGTCTCACGCCGAAGTGGTTGAAATCCAGCATTTGGGCAGTGACTTGCGTCATCAGAAACCAACAAAAAAAGGCATAGTTTAACATCGGCATGATAACCTTGCGGTTGCTTTTATAGTTTAATGGCCCCTGGTGGGGTCAGGGGGATACGTGGTAGGTCAAGGATGAAAGTTAAGGGTGCAAAAGTTGGACTGGGCTAGGTGGGAGGGGTGGTGGATGGATCCAACAAACACTGACTTTCACCCGAGAGAGTGGTGTTTGCATCCCATAAGATTCTAAAGCCAAACCTTGTTCTTTTGAAGGAAAAACAAAGGTTGATATGCGGTGTTGTACCGACGTAGTGCATTCATTTTGAAAGAGACTGTACAGTATATAAATGGTAAATTTCCTGTGAAAGAAGAAGTGTATTTTAAAGATTTTTTATGGGCATTTTTTGCCTTTAATTGATAGGATAGTGAAGTGTGAAAGGGGGAGAGAGAGAGGGAGAGACATGCAGCAAAGGGCCACAGGCTGGAGTTGAACCCAGGCCACTGCGGCAACAGCCTTGTACGTGGGGCGCCTGCTCTACCACTAAGCCATAGCTTGTGGCTTCCATTGAAGGCGATTTACAAGGGGGAGGGAATTTGATTTTTCCCTAACCAATCAGTAGAGATCAACGACTCACCCAGAATCTGACGTCATTAGTATACATGCCTCGGGGGTGCCGAAAACAAGCGAGCATTGCCCGTTTAAAATGTCTCCGTCGTCGTGCACGCCCAGCTGCATCACCATTAAATCCAGTTTAGCAGCTTCCTTAATTTGGTCCTCCATTAACGCGAGTAGTGGCGAAATACCTCGATAGCATCGTTAATGTGGTCTGTAGGATCTGTAGCGGTCGCCATTGTTGCTATCCTCACCAGTTACCCACCGGCGTACAGCTTGACATCAGCGTGGCGCTGATTGGCTAATCGCTAGACCCTCGGTGTTCATTGGTCCGTCCATTGTTTGGACGAGATAAATCACAAATTCATTGAAGTATGCCAGACCAGAGATGCAAGCCTACTCAGTTGAGTGGGCGGGGTCTATGGTCTGGAACAAGGCTAACTAAGCCACCGAAGCCCCAACAGAAGTGCATTTTGAAAGAAGACAATGCATGTAACAGGCAGAACTTGACACAGCATCCCAGAACGTCAACAACCAACACACCCAGGGTACCTTGCATGTCGTATGTGGATGTGGAAAGTCCATGACCAAACATTGATATGTGACAAGGTTGGACTGAGACCTTCAAATCCGAGGCCATGATTCTCTGGCGGAAAATGGTGGATTGCTCCCTCTGTATTGGGAGGGAGAGCGTTGTTGACCCAAGCGTGGGAGCTAAAGTATCTCAGGTCTTGTTTATGAATTGTAGTGTGGATTGGTGGTTTGCAGATGTTGCACTGGACCGTCCTGGTGAAGAGCGAGCTGAGCCAGAAGGCAAAGCTCTGCATTTACTGGTCCATCTACATCCCAACCCTCACCTATGGTCATGAGCTCTGGGTAGTGACCGAAAGACGGAGATTGTCGATATAAGTATCTGACATGAGTTTCCTCTGTAGGGTGGCTGGGCTTCAGAGAAATGGTGAAGGAGCTCGGAGTAGAGCTGCTCTTTCATGTCAAGAGGGACCAGTTGTGGTTGTTTGGCCTTCTGGGTGTCTCCCATTAGAGGTTTTTCCAGGCATGTCCAACTGGTAGAAGACCACAGAAGACGCTGGAGGGATCATATATCTCAATTGGTCTGGCAATGCCTCAGCATCCCCCGGGAGGTGCTGGATATCATTGCTGGGGAGAGGGATGTCTGGAGTACCTTGATTAGCCTGCTGCCCCCATGACCAGGTCCTAGATAAGTGGAGGAAAATGGATGGAAGGACGGAGGTGTTTAAACACTATAACCCTTTACTTCCCTCCTTTCACCAGTTTGTCTTGTCTGTGCAGTAGCTCCCCCCCGAATCCTCATATTGTCCTTTTTGTGTGTTTATCTGCCGTGAAAAATCTATAATAAAATTTATTTGGGAAAAAAGATAGAAACATAAAATATAAAAGGTTATACCACTAAATAATTAAACTCCTTTCTGACATCTGTAAAGTACTGCAAACATTTTTAGGGACGACCCTATTGTTTTTGCTGCGTTTATTATTCTTTATGCTTTATTATTTCTTCCGCTGTCTCTTTGAATCCCAATTTGACCCCCTAAACATGCTCAAAAACTCAACAAAACTGGCACGCATGTCAGGACTGGCAAGAAATTTGATAAAATAACCTAGACACACTAAAATGGCCACTGCAGCCCGTAGGAATGTCGTAGAAAGATCAGATTGACGATTGGACCCACGGTTTGCGAATTAAAGGGAGGAATTTGACACATTTTAAAGCCATCTCAATCTGCCTGCTCTCACATCTTTTCTCTCCCTCTCAGTGACGGACTCAGGATGTTTGAAGGGCAGGGACGAAAAGGAAAAAAGGGCACCTACTGCATGACATGGAGCCCCATTGGTGCGCAAAAAAACAAAATTTGACCCCCTAAACATGCTCAAAAACTGACCAAAATTAGCACGCTTGTCAGGACTGGCAAAAATTTTGATGAAATGAAAAAAATAACCCCAAGAGTGCCAAAAGGAGCTCTTTAGTGCCACCAAAAAACACACAAAAATGGCCACTGCGACCCGTAGGAATGTTGTAGAAAGATTAAACCAAAACTGGCTTGTTCGTCTCATGAAGACCCGTGCCCAGCACCGTGGACCCCTCCCGGGCTGGAGCAGTTGAAAAACTCCATTGCCTCTTCGACCGTGAAGCTAGCACGGTCAGCCCAGCTGTCGTCTCCGTCACCATCTGGCTGCAGCGCTGCAAAGGCATCCGCTTGCCTCTTCCACGGGCAGGTGAGCGCAGAAGGCACACGCGGCCCCGGCGGTGAGAGCTATCCCTGCGTGCTCGGGACTGAGACACATCTTGCAGTGGGGATGGAGGTCGGAGGGCATGATGTAATCGATCTGGCAGCTGGGGCACAGACGGACCGCTCCAGCAGGGTGCTGAGACTTGATTGAAGTCATGGTTCTTCCGTACTGCATGCAAACGCTGAAGAAAAATGGGGAGCAGATCTCTGGTCACGCAGGAATTATATACCCTGTATGCGGACCAGGGAGGGGCAACTGTGCAAGGCACAGTGGCGCGAAAGAAAATCTTCACGACTGCGCATGCGCACGGGGATAAACCCAATAGTGACAGCTCTTAGAGGGCGAAGCCTATACTCATAGAAACTGGGATTACAGTATGTAACCAACGATCTGAGTTATATGAATCCCTGATATAAATAAAATTCATAAAAATCAACATAAAAATTAATATTTTGTGCCTATGGGTCCGTTTTTGAGATTGTGAACTGCTTACCTTAAATTTATTAATGATTAATTACAAAATGAAGATGAATATCAATAAAACGATTCATATTCCGCTTCAGTGCACAATGAAAAAACACAAGTGAGAAAAATAAGTAAAAACAGAGACGACCGCTTGATGTCCGGACAAAACCAACAGATATGTGAGGAACATAAAATGAAGACTATATGATAAAATTAATATTTCTTTAAAAAAAAAAAAAAAGGAATCAATATTTTGATAATTAAAGACAAAACAAAAGAGTTTTCAGGGCTCTGACCATCTCTTTGAAGCCGATCTGACCACTTATGCTCTGAATATAATGCGTACTGTTTTTTATGTTTCGATTTCTATTTTTCCCACTTAAATTTACTCGCTTTGAAATTTGAATTTTTTCTGTGACGTTTTACTTTGTAAATCCCACATACTGTAGGCGGAAGCCGTGTGATCTCTGCGGTGTTTTACATCGTCGTTTCTGATTGGACGATCACACCGACACTCCAACCCACCAATGAACGACCAGCTGGGAGACCGTGGCTGTCATATATAGACGAATTAGCCATATTTATGATCATTCTGACAATAGAACCGAATTTCTTTGAAAGATGTCTGGACGTGGAAAGACCGCAGTAAAGGCCAGAGCCAAGGCAAAGACCCGCTCCTCTCGTGCCGGCCTTCAGTTCCCAGTCGGCCGTGTTCACAGGCATCTGCGTAAGGGTAATTATTCTGAGCGTGTCGGTGCTGGAGCCCCCGTGTACCTGGCGGCGGTGCTGGAGTATCTGACCGCTGAGATCCTGGAGCTGGCTGGAAACGCCGCCCGCGACAACAAGAAGACCAGGATCATCCCCCGTCACCTGCAGCTGGCTGTCCGCAACGACGAGGAGCTCAACAAGCTGCTGGGCAAAGTCACCATCGCTCAGGGCGGCGTGCTGCCCAACATCCAGGCTGTGCTGCTGCCCAAGAAGACCGAGAAGGCCTCCAAGGCCAAGTAAAGCCCCGCGCTGATTTAATCACTCCCAACGGCTCTTTTAAGAGCCACCCATTTATTCTGAAACGGCAGAATCCTAATGGGAACAAATGATGTACAGCAACGATAACACATTAAATACACATGACTCAGGTTTCAGTTTGAAAGCCCATGAGCTCCAGTTCTGTTAAAACGAGGAGCTACATATCTATCAGTAGGTACCTTAATAGAACTGAACATAGTCCTCTTTCCGTTATCTGCCAAACATTCAAATCAGACATACTCTCATGTAATTAAGGGACTGTTCTTTACATGTCAGGAGGGGGGTGTCTACTGATGCTTTTTATTTCTGACCTTCTGGGACGCTACATATATTTTTACTTAAGGCTTGAAAAGGGTCTTAATTAGTGCATGGCCCTCCCTCCATCACAAATGAGGTATTAAAATTTAAAACTCACCCTTTGATGTTCAGAAGATAAAAGCTGAAGATGAAATCCTGGAGGTTGCTAACGCCTTGGTTTTCCACTGTTGTAGTGCAGACTGGTTGGCTGTACAGGCAGTTTATTTTTGACAGTGTTAAATGAGATGTAGAATAAAGTAATTTTGATCAGATATCCCTATTTTGAGATCAGATTTGGTTTTGTTTTTTTCTGATGAAAGCATCCGTTGCACCATGATGTGACTAAGGACTGTTAAGGAAGGCAGATATGATAAATGGTAGAATTTTGACAATTCTTAAAGAAAACAGCCATGTTTTATTTAAAAATTGGCGTTACAGTAAATTCAAAATACAGCCATCCCTCTCCTTAGACAAAATAAAATAACACAAGTCCCTCTAGTGTTTAAAACATTATTTGACATGCCTCCCTCTGCCTGCAGCAGCTTTCACAAGTAACAAACAGTCCCTAAAGACCTCTACTCTTGACCTTATACTACTGTGCACCCAAATTAAGTTACAGAATTTGATGTGCAACTTCCGTTGAAGCCTTTAGCAGCTACTTCTATACCACTGAAAATAACATTTAAACCTGTGTCCTGTAGTGATGGGTAAATAAAACCCTCATGTAGCTTTGGGACCTTTTTCTATTAGTGCTGGAAAAGAGGAGGCTTTGGAGATGTCACAGTCACAGTGACATCTGGTGGTTATCAAAATGTATATCAGCCCTTCAAGACTGCAGCTGGAGAACTTTAACACCTTTCTGATATTATTAATTTTATTAAGTGCAATAAGTTAAAACACCTGTGTGCTATTATTAATTCTGCAGTGCTCCATTAAGTGTAGATGGTGCTGAGCAATAATTTTACAGGGAATTGATTTTTTGTGATTCTAACAAGAGACAACATTCTGGGTAAATTTAGATGGACTTAAACTAAATGAATTAAAACATAAAGTAGCAGCTGTGATGTTAAATATGTCGAGAGGTACTTAAGTGTATACAGATGCCCAAGAACGTCAGAGGCCTGTAGAGTCACCAGTGCCCTTACTTTTATTTTGAAGGACTTTTTTCTTAACCGGAAATATTGCGGCTGGTAATCTCTAGTTTGAAAAGAGGAACCGGAAACTTGACGGGCAGGAACTGTTATTAATGAGAGGTCTGTCTTCAACTACGTCCGCAGAATGGATTCAAATAGCGACCCCCTCAACATTGCAGTTCAGTTTTTTTTTCAGAACAAAATAGAATCAGACAAGATGAGTGGTCGCGGCAAGGGAGGCAAAGGACTCGGTAAAGGAGGCGCTAAGCGTCACCGTAAAGTTCTCCGTGATAACATCCAGGGAATCACCAAACCCGCCATCCGCCGTCTGGCTCGCCGCGGCGGTGTGAAGCGTATCTCCGGTCTCATCTACGAGGAGACCCGCGGGGTGCTCAAGGTCTTCCTGGAGAACGTCATCCGTGACGCCGTCACCTACACCGAGCACGCCAAGAGGAAGACGGTCACCGCCATGGATGTGGTGTACGCTCTCAAGAGGCAGGGCCGCACACTGTACGGCTTCGGAGGTTAAATCACTGCCTCAGCTCACCTCAACACAACGGCTCTTTTAAGAGCCACACACATCAACCAAAGAGCTCGTTTCTGTCAGTGTAAAATTATATTTGTACCACTTTTAATAGAAAGAGGACACGTGCCCACCATGCACCATTTATGTGAAACACATACAGCCCGCGAAACAGCCAAAGGAAGGACTCTTCAGACTGAGGCCAAAAAATTTATTGTACTCCGGAGAAATCTACGTATAAAATGTACATCAGCATGAATTGTGTGACTAAAAAAAGCCCTATTAAACAAAACTACAGTGGTGGAAGTAGTTACCTACCCAGATGTTTTATAAATTACCTAAAGGACCAAAAAATAAAAAGCCTAGTCATTATACAGAATGGCCAATTTAAATTCTAATTAAAAATCATCATATTCAAAATACTTGAATATATTTTTTATTTATTTATATATGTGTGGGTAGTTTAATAATACATAATCATTCATTAGAAGATTTATATGTTGTATAAGTTAGACAATGGCTCTTTTAAGGGGCACTCACATTATCACATCAACTTCATAATATTTCAGTAGAGAGTAGAACAGGGTGAAAATAACTTATTGCTGTAATATATAAACAAACGTGTTACTGAAATGTTCACTCCCAAAACGTTTTTATTCATTACCGAAATGCCAACCAAATCACCGGACTGAAGTGCACATATTTCATACAATGATAGGTGTAATTATATCGTTTGTATAATATTACATGGAATAAATGCATTGACACCTACAATAATACCGATCTGTCATAAGTGATGTCCACATCAAACCATCAGAGATGTTTCTGGAGAAATGTCTCTCACAGAGTTGAGACATAACTTTTTTAAGGTGCCAGAAGGCCAAAAAAGAAGACAATAAAGAAAATCTTTCAGTCACTCACTCACTTATCCCATTTTCAAAGATCAAAACATTTATTATATAAATCTTCATCTGCAAAATCACAACTAATGTCATAAAAAAGTATAAAGTACTGGAAAATGTTTCCAAAGTGGGTATAAATAAGAACCTCTAATCCCAATGTCACTTCATTATGTGACTCAGTTATAATTTGATTACATGAGCCATTATGAATGGATAACTAATATAGTGCAAAATATTCGTTTTAAACTAAGAAATATTAATTTCACACAAGAAAAACTAAAGAGTACGATGTGGTACATAAATAAAATTTATAATAATTTGCTACAATATTTGATGTTTTTTCCTGATTAATGCAAATCAGACAAAGTGTAGACAAAGTAAAAGCCTATTATGTATTAAAATGAGATTCACAAATGTATTTGTTTAGATTACACGATGAGAAACCCTTTATAGAAAAATATTATTGATCTGTCAGTGATATTAAACGTGTCATCAGCAGGAAGGAGCTCTTGAGCTGAGAGTAAGGTGGCTCTTAAAAGAGCCGTTGTTGAGTGTAGTCGGGTGAGTTTAAGCCCTCTCTCCGCGGATCCTGCGGGCCAGCTGGATGTCTTTGGGCATAATGGTGACCCACTTAGCGTGGATGGCGCACAGATTGGTGTCCTCGAAGAGACCCACAAGGTAAGCCTCGCTGGACTCCTGCAGAGCCATGACGGCGGAGCTCTGGAAGCGCAGGTCGGTCTTGAAGTCCTGAGCGATCTCCCTGACCAGGCGCTGGAAGGGCAGCTTGCGGATCAGCAGCTCGGTGGACTTCTGGTAGCGGCGGATCTCTCTCAGAGCCACGGTACCGGGCCTGTAACGGTGAGGCTTCTTCACGCCGCCGGTGGCCGGCGCGCTCTTACGGGCAGCCTTGGTGGCCAGCTGCTTCCTGGGGGCTTTGCCTCCGGTGGACTTACGGGCGGTCTGCTTGGTTCTTGCCAT